CCCCCCCCAAAAAAAACAATTTTGAATAAAGCAAAATAGCACAGTACAAAAACACAAAAGAGAATGTAAAGAAATAAATTAGGTGAGGAAATACTGTAGCTGGATTAAAACCGCAACAAAACACAACTCCAAATTTGTGATACGGAAAACACTCCACATTGTTTTGATAAGTGTAAATGTTGTACATTTCAGGCCCCAATTAGGTCACACTGGGACTGAGTCGGCAGTGTTGATTGTCACAGAATGCAAGAAAGTGCTTTGCTGGCTTATCAATATGCAGATAACCAGCAGACGCCAAATTCCAAAGACGCGGCTGAGCTCATGCTTGGCACTTAGACGAGAAAAACTCGCAAGTGCATTTCTGCAAATAGCTGCCAAGGCCGTTTATTAACCCGACTGCACATGGGGGGAATGTCCTGAATAGTACAAACATTATAACAAGTTATGCTAAGATAGCTAGAGTTTACAATGACTATCAAGGAGGAATGCAAACAAATTACTCATTTATTTTGTACAACAGAAGTGGTCACAATTTTTTTTTCCCCAAGGGCAAAAATGTTTTAAGTTGAAAGCACACTCTTGTTTTTTTTTTAATGGTTTAACTTGAAAGAATAGTAAAAATAAATAAATAAATAAATACAAAAACAGTCATACACTTCTGAGAAATGTAAAAACAAAATATTTTAATCAATAGTCATTGATGGAAAAGAAAAAAAAAGTCTGAACTTTAAGTGAATAGTCGCATTTAGCTGTCTTTGGACACCATTTGAGGAAGTTCTTTCTATTGCGTCCAAAAGAAATCTTGATTTCATCCGAACACACGCAGGCTCACAAAAAGAGGCGGTGTGGTAAACCGACCCTTTCTCAGTCACAGCCTCTCGGGTTACACTTTTGAGAGCCACCGTGTCGCGCGCTGACCTACATCACCATTGATGCGCGCGCACTTGATACACAATCATTTAGTGTGCTGCTCTCTAATCATTACCAGAGGGCAGGGTTTCATCATTCATATCAATACTCACAGCCACATCAGTAATCAAAATGAAAAAAATGCACCCAAGATGTTGTACTCAAACCTCTTTCTGTACAGTACAATAGGGACGAACTCAGTGAAAAGCGATGACTACTTGCTGATGGACGTCAACATGAGGCTGACAGTTCACTCGCATGAGACAGCAGCACGCCTACGATATCAATCTTTGGATGGTTTTGTCATTTTCACGGAAAAGTGCTCCCTAAGCCGGTAAGCAAGCGCCGACGCAGTAAATCACTTGAGTTGTGGCCACGCCCGTCTTATACGTGACGCTGCAGGTTGACATTCCACGGAATGTACCCACCCACAGCAAAAACGTGTGGGAAGTGGCCCCGGACACGCCTTTGTAGCCACACACACACACACACACACACACACACACACACACACACACACACACACACACACACACACACACACACACACCCTCTTTTTGTCACACACACTTTGAACAACTAACCCCTGCTCATGTGCTTTTTGAGCTGCATGAGCTGCACACAAACAGACTCGCCCCCACGAGTTCCCGCCACCTTCTGGGGGCTGATGGCAAAGTGAGGCCACAGGTGGCTCATGCTGATAAACTGCTTATCTGAAACCTGGCGGGGCATCATCCGAAGAGACGCGTCCAGACAGAACATCCCCTTCAACATGTCCACAAACATCAGCTTATCGGCCGAGTACACAACCTGGTCCGAGGGGTGTCTGGTGTAACACCACTGGAACTGCTGGAGCTGGAGAACAGAACTCATGAGAACCTCGTGAAGATTCTCTCGAGACATCTTTCGATCCTACTTGGAGGAGGTGGTCAAGAGAGCTCAACTGGAGCTTCTTGGCCATCCTGACTGCTATTCCGGTCTCTTGCTGGTACGTTTCCGACGTCTGACGAGAGGCGACATCGAGGTTAGACCTTTGAGGTTAGACCTGACTTTGACTTGGTATTCATGAGACTCGGCTGGTCTTCGACCTGAAATACATGACTTCACGGTTTACATTTGTTTACATTGGAAAATCTGCACGTTGGCAAGTCAAACAGGAGAGATACTCGACTTGACCGTACTTCCGACTTTGGGGAGAACGAGAGGGATAAGGATGGAGTGGTTATCACTCAGGAGTTGTAAGAAAGCAGCACCCCTGAACCTAACTCAAGGTCAATTTCGTCCCACCCACCATTATTAGCACATGGGAGGGAGTGTACCTTCAGGCTCCACAGACTGGTTTCAGTTTCCTGGCGGAAAAAGTGTTCAGTCTTTTTTCCAGAGACCAGAAGGCTGTCTGGAAAGGCTCCTTGAGTCCCTGTGATGTACGTTATCTGAGCATACAACACATCACAGTCGCCATAGAAACCGCTGACCTTAAAGGCAAACGTGGGGTTACTTGATAACGACAGCGAATCCAGTGCGTAGTTGCCCTCAGAATGGAACTATACCATAACTCTGACAATTTACACTGCCCCCATCCAAAGTACTTCAAACTTTGTTTGAAGCAGGCAGCAGTGATCAACGTTTGAGCCCAGATCAATAATGATAATGACCATTTCGTAGTCATTCTTGCCTGGGAAAATCAGTGTACCCGTGTACAAAAAAGCAGTCACGCATCATCATGGACCAAATGTCATTAACTTTGTCAAGTTAATGACAAAGACGTTATTGATGTACAGTGTGTACATCCGGTTTTATTTTGAAGAGACACAGTCAAAAGCGGAAGTTTCGCTGCTGTTCACTCCTGCGAGGCACGTGTGATTATGACTGGCGAAGGCAAGGTAAATGAATTGGTCGACTTTATTCGTGTTTTAATGTTTCACAGTATGTGGCTTGAATCATCCCCTTTTTTAATACACGTTTACAGACTTATCGATCCGTTTGCTATCATCGCACACTGTTGAATCGTTAATGTGTGGAATTTGAAGTTTAATCTCAAGCCTTTGAGGTGAATTAAGGAGGTCTTTTCGAATTAGAAAATGGCGGCATCAACATTAGCTTCGCTAAAGATGTCTAAATCATATTTTCCCGACCCGGTGATGTAACTTACAATACAACAGGGAGCTCCAGTTGGCTGCAGAGCCCCCTGGGCATGCGGGGCACGGTTTCTGCTGTAAAAGGGGGTCGATAGGCCTGGCAGGCTTTGGATGGGGAAGGGAGGGTCAAAATGGTGGCAAAGCACAAACACAGTGGCCTTATGAGCATGGATGTATCCGTCAGGCACAGAAGAAATTGCATGTGGCCGAGATGAGGAGTACAGAGTTTGAATGGCATGTGAGTTCATTTAAGGCCTATAAAGTCATTAAAAAAAAAAGAGCGAGAGAGAGGATTTACAGTAGGGTAAATCAGAAAGTCAATATTAGATTTGTTTATATCAATGCCATAATGATAAGGGGTGCCCAATTGTTATCAAACACTTTTTGGGGGTCACATTATTTGCATTTGTGTATTGGAAATGAATTGGAGTTACCAGGCTACTACCCGATTTCTGCAGGATAACGAAGAAAACGTGCGTAGTACACGTATGACACTTTTCCACTGCGCTGACTGAAGGGAAAAATGACGCAGCACTCCAGTCGGAACGAGATGCGCCAACAAATGAAAAAAATGGCAAAAGAACAAAGGTTTCCTCTATTGATTCTTTTTGGAGCAAAGACAAATGTTATCCAAGTAGAGACTTTAGGGCAAAGTGGAGACTGGGGGACATCAACATGGTAAGATAACGTTCGCATTGGGCATTTTTTATGGGGCATTTTGCTCAAATTTTACGTAACTTAACGCATTGATATTTGAGTATGTTTGAGTCCTTAGAGGGATGAAATTCACATTGCGATTTGACCTTTTTTAGGCCATCTCACAGCTGAAATGTGTAAGCATTTTCATTCTTTCTTTTTTTTTTAACCCCCTCTTCCGCTGTCACGCCTCATAATTAATTCACGAGGCCTACATACCGTCGGTACGGCCTGCATAATCGATTTGAGTCTCGTAACGTGTGAGGCAAGGGTGAGGAAGGATTACAATGAAGCTCAATGCTTGAGCTTCACTTTTTGTGCCAGTTCCTCACATGCCACTTTATACTGTGCACAGTAGAATTCACTCGGGACGGGTTTCATTTGTAGGAGAACTTCGAGTGTAGTGACAAGCAGTCGATGGGGCATCCAACAAGCCCTACAGAGCTGCCATGACCTCATTCCATGGCCCCGCTGCCTGACCTGAAGAGAGAATGACGCCAGTCTGCTTTCTCTCAGGTACAAAGTGTCTGCAGCTGTTTTAGAACATCAATCATTGATGTCCCCGATAGTTCATTTCCTTTTTCTCAAATAGCAGTCCCCTTTACGGTTTACATTTGATATAACCCTTGGGGAAAAAAAAAGTTCCACGTTTTAAATAGAAATTCGTTTACCCTAATTTCGTCAACATAACTGGTTATGTGCCTGCATTTGTGCACGCGTGTGTGATTGTGCGCTCAAAGCACTCAGAATGCGGTGAGTGTGTGGGTGACATTTGACTGTGAACAAGGGTGAATGTAAATTAGCTTTTTATGATATTAACTGCACAGTTTCTTTTTTTTAATGGTTGGAGGAATTTTCCTGAAAGAATAAAAGTAAAATTGCCCCATGTCTTGCAAAGGTGTTGCATTTTCCTTTTTTCTTCGGATTATTTCTGACGGCAAAATAATCTTGTGCTTCTCTATTGAGAATTTGAAGATCAACATCTGACAGTGCTGACCGATCTTGCTTGGGCTCCTTTTTTGCGGTTGACTTAATTTGCAGCATAACCGGGCGGCCTTTTATTAGATTCTGTGAAAGTGTAAACCTCAGAAGTCGTGGATGGCATGGATACAACTGTGAGTTAGTTATTTTCCTTATTTATTTGGGAAATTTGAAACCACTTTTTTTCCAAACGGGTATGAGTACTTCCAGATACCAAGTCACTGATACCACTATTTTTGATGCATACCATTTCTCATAAAGCAATGACAGATCATTTTTTAAAAAAGGCCTTTCATTTATTTCTGACAAAAAAAACAACAAAAAAACAGGACAGTGACCCTGCAATACGCACACAAAAAAATTCAAACACCAAGCAACTCACTCAGAATTCATTTGTAATAAATTAACAAAAGTGTAAAAACAAAACTGAGTTTTAGTCATTCCTTGAAAATAGTACAGGTTCAACCGTGAACTGTTAAGCATGGCACGGTGAAGAAGGAAAATAGGGGGCAGGGTTGTTACTGTTGAAAAATATATGACAATGCATTTCATATCAGTCGATACGGATACGTATTGATTTATTTTTAACCTATTCAAAAAAAGAAAAAAATATTAAATGAATTAAAGACAAAATATCAGAACATAAAACTATCCAGAGTGTAAATATTATTCATTCATAGTAAGTAAGATTATGCAACAAGTGAGTACAGCACTTTGTATTATCCACACGATGTCCACTCAACAGGAAAAAGATAGACCTTGTTACGTACTGAATAATGACAACATTCTATTTTCTCAATTGATGATAGCAGTAAATGTGTAAAAATAAGTACATGCATGAAACACCGTAATGGAGAAAATCATCCGACCATCCAAACTGAGTTAGTCAATAAATGTATACAGTTTGCTGGCAACTCACTAATAATGCCGTCCAAGCATTAACGTAAACATACGCAGGCTTATAGAAATTGCATCTTAATGGGCATATGACGGGACGGACATGGATGGAATTAAAAAGACAAAAAGACTGTCAGCCATGCAGAAATTGACTCAGCAAAGAGATGTATATATTTTGGTAGCAAAACCCTAATGATGCGAGGTATTAACGCAAACTCTATAAACATGCACGTAGTTAGAGAATTTTTTTTTTCAGTGGACATTTGACAGTAATGACATGGATTGCAGTTCACTTAGAAAAACATTTAGTCAGTCGTAAATGCTATTTAAGTCCTGATAATACATCCACAAGAGGGCGCCGGTGACGGGTATCGGCCTCCTCGTGTGTACTCGATACCTTAAAATAAAGCCGGTATTGGTACTCGCCCATGACTGTTACGGTCTGTACTTACGTATTGTTCTCTGTGCACTGAATAAATACATGGTGATTTAGCTTTTAATCTGGATACAGTTAAACGATATACTCGTTATAATTCCGAGATTTAGTTTTTAAAGGCTTGGTTAAATCAAAGAACCTTCCAGTTTTTGTATGACATCTGATGCCATTGAGGTCATTCTGAAATATACAACATATTCACCCGCAGCCGCTGGATATCTTGCTCCTTCTCCTGTTTCATGATGCTGAGCTGCTCGTTGAATTGCCGCGACAGCTCCTCGGTCTTGATGTGCAGCGTGCTGCTGTTAGATTGGCCTAATTGCTGCGAGGTGGAGGCGGAAAGATGGAAACAACTTCAGAGACTTTCAGGCTAAAGTGAGAAGGCCTGACAGAAGGCCGGAGCGAGGGTGGCCGGCTACCTTCTGTCGGAGAATCTCGTTCTCCTTCTCCAGAGCCCTGATGCGTCCTTCCAACTCCCGCATCCGGAAGTCGCGGCTCCAGGCGACGTTGCGGGCGCGCCACACCTGGGC